TATATATATAAACTAACCTTATTGGGAATCTAACCATACTAAAATAAGTACAGAGAGCAGGAGAGAAGCAAACAGATGTAAAGGGCCATCACCAATTAGGTTCAGGTTGCACAGAAACACAAAAAGCGACATGTCTGAATATCACTACAGGTTCCACAGAGCTCTGACCTGTGGCCATGCAAACAAACCTCATGGTAATGTTAACGTTTAACACACAAGATTCTTCTTTTCTATGTGGATTTTCAGATCGTCAGATGCTGGGAGTGCATGAAGACTCTTTTGCTAACTCTTGAAGTCAACAGCAGAACACTTGGTGTGCTTTGTTTGTGGCTGAGAAATTTTAGAGTTAACAGAAGCAGCTCTAGAAAATAAATAGATCCAAGAAAACCCCCCAAAACTCAACTACGAGATGTTGCTCTTTCTGATTGGCTCAACTGAAAGCAAGGCATTAGGTCAGGAGGATGACGCACACTGTTAGATTACGTACACAGACCCAATAAAGTTCTTCCTGGCTTGTAAAGCTGTCTAGTTGAGGGTGGCAGTAGTGAGTGATTTCATATGCTCACAGCTTTTATTTTGAACTTCCAAGTTTTTAAAACATACAAAACACAAGGAAAATGCTCTTTCCTCATATGGGACCTATGACACGCTACAAAATACAGAACTGGGTGCTGTTATCTTTGAGATTGTTCACGTTTGGTTCAGAAATGAGAGCTGTATGAATAAACATTGTGCTGTTTAATCTCCCTGAGGGCAAACACTAAAGACTAAACATGTTGTTTGTACAGCTCAGATCAGTCTAAACATAATCATTATCACCTGTACTTTGTACAGCTGGAGCACAAACACTATGTGAGGGTGCCTCCCTGTGGGTCAGCTGTGCTGTATGACTCATCAGGGACTTTCCCACTGAGAAACCCACTTGCTGTTCGAGCTACCTCAGATGTAGTCTACAGTTTTTATTTCTTTGGGGCACTATTAGCCTTTGTGAACCAGACACTGTTTAAATGCTGTGCGTGATGAGCGCTTCAGGTAACGCTGTGTAATGAAGCATTAGCAAACAGTGGAGAGCAGCAGCGAACTCTGTCACAGCTGACTTTGTTCACTTAAAACAATAACCTCAGTTTAGTTTGATGTCCTGAAAGCCAGCTGAGCTCCCACATGAGCACTGTGACTGGTAATTAGTGACAACAGCTAGTTAGTGGCCTTCACCAGAAGGAGTCTTCGCCTGTTTAGCCTAGCAGCTAACGGTTAGCAACATTAGCTCGGCTGACGTTAGCTAACTTTACCTGCAGGTTTTCTTGTTCGTCCACCAGCAGGAAGCTCCGGACACCGTCGGTTCGCTCCTCCGGCTTCACTGGACCGATCGATATACTCTCCATTTCTTTCATCAGTATTTCTGACATCGTCGTTCAGTTACTTAAGACATTCTTGTCCCGACAAAGACCAAAACGAAAGTTCAACATGACTCCTGCTAGACTGTCAATCACAACAACAGCGCGTGTACCGCTGACGCTGCAGGAGGAGGAGCTAAGGAGCACGCAGACTGTGACGTAAGAACGTATTACGTTTGTTCGGTACATCAGCGCCACCGTGTGGCCAGAGAGCTGCACAGCACACAACCTGCCAATCAACAAACTTCTTAAATCAAGAAATAAAGAAGATTAAAATTAAACGAGCTGGCTCATGTGTTCAGTCTGTGTGTAGCGTGAAAAACATTTTTAATTTCGATTTAATTCTACAAACCAAACCCAGTTCATATCCATATTTTCGTTCTTATATTAAGCTAAAAATAATGCACATTTTGAAGCACTAATAAATTCTTAATTACAGCAATACAAAGGAAATCAAAGTTTCCATTTAACTGGCAGGGAGTGTTTTATTGGAGCAGTGCTGCCATGTTAGAGCTGCTTGCTAATGTTCATTAAATATTTGTTAGCACAGATCTATAAATATCACATGTCACTGAATGGCTTCAGAGCGGCGCCACTGCTGCTAACATGACATGGAGAAAGAAATTCCAGCATAGCAGCTCTAATAGTTCTGGCTGAGCTCCACCTGACTTGTCCTCGCTTTTCCTCCTTCCTTCTTTCCCTCCTTCCTTCACACATGTGTACTGGATGTAGTTATCATTGGGCACAGTTCAAAGAAACGCTTGAGATAAGCCTTGGTAGTAGCCTGTGACATATTTGTCTGCAGCCTATGTAACATGAAAAGGGCCATCTGGGGTAGATTCAGCCAAAGATACAGGCAAGAAAATGAGCAAGCAGGGGGAAGGATGCAATAAAGGACGGATAAGGGGTTTGGAGAGGGTCCCAGCCTTTCTCTGGGCTCAACCATGAGAGACAAATGTCTGAAAGAATCAATTATAGGCCTACTCCCAACCCATCACCCCTGATTAATGAATAATTAAAGCTGCTCAGTGCAGGACTACCTAGCATAGATAATATAAGATTAACCATGGGTCTATCAACATGCCACCACTAATGTATGATTATGCAGAAACAATGTCTCTTAATTTCCCCTAAATTACAATATAAACCGGTTTTATAGGCTATCAGATGCCTCTAATGGGTAAGCTTATCCAAAGTTTCCTCAACAGAATGCAATTAACACCTGCACACGTGATTATTTTGTGTTTCTTTCTGATCCCTGAGGTATGGGGATGCCTGACCTGACTTTGCACCCATATTCATACTCCCTTCTCTGTAAATTAGCTACTAACAAATTAGTTTAAACGATTTCTTCCAGTCATTTTCAGATTAATTTCTGAGCAGCCACCAGTGTGATCCAGTGTATGTAGAAACCTCACCCATCCATCCAGACAATGCTCAGTAGAAGCTGCTATCCTCAGACTGACAGTCCTGCAACCCAACCTTGACATAACTGTAGACGTTTTTTTTTTCTTCTTCTATAAATTCGGATAGGGGGGATGGCTTTACCCTTACAAGTCCGAGGCGGGACTGTGGTCCACTTAAACCGCTATCCCCGCTGGTACTTGTAGTACGCTCCTCCTCGGCATGTTTCATGTTGACATGCGTAAAAAACTACACTTCCCCAAAGCTGTCACAGAGCGCTCCCGCCTCCCATTGGCTGCTCGCTGCAGCCGCAGCCCCAGAGAATGAATGAAATTGAAATAGCTGCTACATTACATGTACAATACCGGGCTCTGCAGTGTTGCATTCTATCATACTATATCAAAATGGCCACAGCGGTACAGAACCCCCTCAAATCGTAAGTACAACACGTTTCCAGAGTGTTTGCGCTTTCTTGTATTTCTGCATGCTGTCAGTGCAATTTAAGACCCTTAAATTCAATCCTCAGCATGATTGCCAGCACGTATATACATGCAATGCATACAGCAGAGGCTGAGATAATGTCAGGGGATGATGAGCATCCCTGAAGAAAAGTTAAAGCTGACGGAGCTTTCTGTTTTTGCTTTTGGCACGGGGGGGAATCATTGTGCGCTCCGATGCAATTCATACAATCATTTCCCTGAGCCAACAGCAGCGTGTGTGCAGGGATATGGAGGAATGCTGGAGGTAGATTTGGGTGACCCGGTATGTCCCTTGCCAGTGTAGCCAGCCAAGATCACGGTCAAAGCCAGGCTGGAGTGGCACGCTGGCCGGGAGGACGCGGCTTAGACGGCTTTACAGTACCTGTGTGCACATTTTTTTGTTGGACAGAAAGAGGGTAAACAGGTAGAGCTGGGTTTAGGCTGCAGCGTTACCTTTCCAGCCGGACCTCTCCATAATGTAGCCCACAGGCTGAGGTAAATAGTCCGAGAATTGCACCTAGAATAAAGCCCAGAATAAAAAATCTGAATTGCATTCCGGCGTTGTGCATTTAACGTAGCTGCATCTCAGCGGACCTGGGGGATTTCTGTTAAAGCCGTGGCTTTCCTGTGAAGTTTCTTCTGCGATGATCCCCTTTGTGCAGGTTTTTTTTTTTTTTTTTTGGGGGGGGGGGGTCCTTTTTTTGTGTGTGTTGTTTTTCGGAGACTGGTTTCAGCGGAATGCAGACGCCTGCTGCCCGCCTCGGCTCCCGGCCAAAAAGGTGGCTGATGTGCGTCTGTCAGCGGGTACTTACACTGTTGTAGCCACACACACACACACACACACACAAAAGCACCAACACAAAACCTACAACCGAGGAGTGTTGGAGCTCTCAAGCGCTCCAGCTTTTTTTAGGCAGTTCGAAACAAAGAAAAGTCACAAGACCAGTGAGCAAAAAGCAGAGGCGCACATCGGATACTGGGCAGGTTTTTTTTTTGTTGTTGTTGTGTTTCTACCTGAGCAGGAGGGTATGGGAGATACACTGTCTGTCTGTCTGTCTGTCTGTCAGCTTCTCTGAGATGCAGACACAGGCGACATTTCGTGCAATTCCATGAACGGCTGCCCTGTACGTGCCTGCTTTGAAGAGCACTTCACAGGAGAGAGGAAACTGGATTGCAATGGTCCTGATTGGGCAACTGCCCCTGATTGACTGTGATGGCATTTTTGGTGCTTTGGCTAAATGCATTTGTATTCTAACGCAACACCAGACCTCAATAATAGCAGAATGAAGCGCAAGGTGAATAATCCCGAGGTTTGTTTGTGCCCTTCTAAGCTGGTATTTTGCGGCGTTGCATCATGATGGGACAGGGATGGACAGGTGGACTGGATGGAGGCTGTAATGTGGAACCTCTTCTCCTCTCTTCCTCCTCCTCCCCCCTCTTTCCTCCATGGGATGCTCATCCATGCAAAGCAAAAGTGTGGCCAGATTGCTCCCAGAGGCCCTCAGTGACACCATGTCAGGGGATTAAATTGACTGATTTGCATGGAGTTTATACCAGGACAGAGAGGCAGAGGAGGTGGTGGCTCAACAAAATACAGCAGAACATGGAGGGGGGGGTGTCCAAGGAGTTAAAAAGAGGCTCAGAGCCAGAGACTAATGAACTACTGCCCGGTTTTAAATGGTGGTCCTACATTGATTTTTAAGTGCTTTAACTTAGACAAAAAGAAGGCACAAAACAAAGCAGCCAAATTGTCAGCCACTATCAACCCTGCAGGGATGCTGGATCGCTGTTTCCCTACAGCATCCGAGAAGAAATAAAGCTGAATGTATTTATTACACAAGGCCGCAGCAATCAAAGCTGCCTTTAACATCTCACCAACTGCATAAATGCCATCATTACGCAGTATGGGTTTAACTATGTTCCAGTTACCACTCTGCAATGGGCTTTTAAATAAGCCCTGGTAATTAGCATGTCTACAAACAAACTTGCTATTAGAGGCTTACAAATTAGAAGCCTATCCAGTAAAATGGGCCAAACAACTCGCAAAATTTGGTTCAAAGTCGGCCCCTAATAGGGTGGCTGACTGTGCGTCGGAGACAATGCCTGTTGTGTCCCTAAATGTCTTTAAACCTTGTTGAATCTCAGCAATCAATCAGTTCGGTGTATGTAAATTCCTGAGAAGCCCGGCGTCCAGTCAAGTGTGAGCGGGCCTGGCGGTGCACGATGCAGAGTGAGAGCCGGTTTGGGAAATACAGTGGAGGGTTCGTTTGTGCGCAAAAGGCAAAGCAGTGGAGGAGAGCATCCAGCTTCAATCTACTGGGCATTTCCCCACCAGCCCTCTCCTCCCGTCTATCTCTCGGCTGGATTAGAGACTCATTTAATCTCCCTTTTTCTCCTTCTCCTCTGCTTCCATCTCTCTCTCCCTCCCGCTTATTTCCTCCCTGTCCTCCTCTCACCCCTGCTGCCCTGTCTTCCACTTTGCCTCCCTCCTTCTTCATCACTTTCTCTATCCATCACTCCCTTCGCCAGCTCTCTTTTGTTCAGCCATTTCCTTTCTGTCTTGCTCTCCTTTTTTTTTTTTTTTT